ACTACAAACAATCATGCTTAAGCTACATAATCTTTACTCCCTGGAATGGAGATAAGAAACGCCCTAACCTTTGTAATAGAAATTGACAGGGATCGAATCAACTGGTATAAATACGAATGTAACAAGACAAGACACAGAACTTAGGAGACAGAACCTATACAGTACTTAGAGACAGAAGAACTTCGCTGGAGAGAACATGGCAAAAGATCCTGGACAGAACCTGGCTACAGAACCTGGCTGAAGAACCCAGCTACAGAACTTGGCGACCGAACCTGGCTGGAGAACCTAAACCGAACCTGGCTGGAGAACCTAGCGAGAGAACATGGCTACAGAGCCTGGCTGGAGAACCTGGAGAACGTGGCTGGAGAACCTAGCAAGAGAACATGGACACAACTTGGCTGGAGATTGTGGCTAGAGATCCTGGCTAGGCTGCTGATCAACTGAACGCTGTCTCCGTGTCATTCCTTCTTCGCCGACTCCGTCCACACCTTTGGGGACCCCTGGACCTGCTGGGGTTGGACCCCAGCAGTGAATGATCAGGGAGTCTTTCCCTGTCCTATCGATTTCATATTTGTACGTGATGAGAACATACACATTAATTTTTATTAAAAATGTTAACCTTCAAAACACGTAGAGGTGGTAGCATATTTTAAGTTAAACCACACTTAAGAGTGAATAAAACACCCTGGAGTATACTGATGAGCCGTGACCATTCTGCCTGTATTCGTCCCCAGCACCGACTTCCTTCCACCCCGCACGGCTCACCCCCGGGAAGGGCCCCCGCTGTCCCTGTGGGAGGCGGTGTGGCTGCCACTTACCAGCAGATGTGCCTGCACAGCTCCCGTCTTTTCTGAAACGTGGGGCAGTTACAGATGTGCGGGTTTCCGAGGAAAACCTTGAAAGCAAAAACGCACACTTTCTAAAGCTCCAGGCAGCTTGTGGGGTTAGGGCAGCGGTCAGCAGACTCATTCGTCAACAGAGCCAAACATCAACAGTACAACAACTGAAATTTCTTTTGAGAGCCAAATTTTTTAAACTTAAACTATATAGGTAGGTACACTGTTATTAACTTAATTAGGGGACTCCTACGCTGGCCTTTGCTAAAAACGTCCTCAATCTGATGGAGGGACGTTCGCTGAGGTCGACCCCTTCCAACCCTCCCATCCACACTCGTCCTGTGTACTTGTCTCATCTATCAGTGGTCGGCAAACTGCGGCTCTCGAGCCATATGCGGCTCTTTGGCCCCTTGAGTGTGGCTCTTCCACAAAATACTACGTGTGGGCGTGCACATAGAGTCCGATTGAAACTTCGTGGCCCATGTGCAGAAGTCGGTATTTTATGGAAGAGCCACACTCAAGGGGCCAAAGAGCCGCATGTGGCTCAAGAGCCGCAGTTTGACGATCACCGGGTTAGGGTAAAGCTAAATGAACAAATGATTAGATTAAAGATTTCAAGGGGTAATCCGGCCTCCGTGACTCTGAAGGGTTTCATCTCGGCTACAGGGCACCTTAGTTCTTGAGGCCAGTCTGATGCCTCACGCCTTTCCATTGTGTAATGGTTAGCACTCTGGACTCTGATGCCTCACGCCCATCATCCGTGGCCTTCGCCTCCTTCAACAACGTGCCTGGTCACGCAACACTGTTTTTAAATGGCCTACACTCAGGCAAGGGGAAAGATGGCTAATTTTAAAAATCTCTCTCTCTCCTGCCTTGCAGTGAAGCTAAAGACCTTTCTAAGATTTTGGGTTTTTGTTTGTTTGGTGCATTGGAATGGGTGAGTTTATCTCATTTAATTTGATCCAAGGAGACTAATTGTATTCACCACGTCTCGTGGCTGAGCACAGTGAATGCGGTGTTGTAAGCAGAGTGATAAAAGGATGTACTAATTGGAGAAGCCGGTGAGGAATCCGCGGTCACTGCTTCCAGTGCATAAAACCACTCAATTTCCACGCCGACCAGCTGCTGGGAGTGGCTGGTGGCTGGTGGCTGAGCGGTGAGGGTAGGATGTGCGGATATTCCAAATATCCGCGGGTTTTTTTTAAGGGTCTTATTAGCTTGAGAGTGACTAATGGGTCGGGGAAAACCGATTTCGGATATTTAGCAAATACAGCCGGTTTGCAGACAGAGGGTGGACTTTCCATGTCCTGTCGTGCGGGGCAGGTGGGGACTGTTGGGGGCTCGTGCGGGGCAGGTGCGGGCCGGACGGTCTCAGGTCGCTTTGCCCGCAGACCTCGCGCTCAGACCACAGGCTCCGCTCTCCACCCGCAGGCCGGGGCGCCCTCCC